TTCATGTGTAAAAACATATTATTCTTCCTTTTATTTCCCTAGCTATTTAAAAATCATTCACAAATATGAGGAGGCTGAAATTTCCCCTATAATTAACCCATATTTTTATAGGAAGTGCTAATCCTCAGTAAGGTACCATCTCTTAGGGGCACAATGACATTTTGGGGGGCTATTTACTAGTGGTCAGATGATTAGTGGACTCTACTGGCACTCAATGGATTCTAGTCATCCTTCAGTTACCAGGATAATTCCACTCAAAGAACTGTCTCACTCCTCACATACATTTCCAGTGCCCTGTTATAAACTTAATAGATGCTAGGTACCAACTTAATTTTATGATAAAACACAAAACATTTCCATAAGGCTTTAACATACATTGGATTTTATAGAAACATTGTGGATTCCCTGGCATAGCCATAACCGGGCCACAGCTGAGGTCAGCGTCCAGACAGTACTGAGCACCCTCTGCAAACAGAGAATTCTGCCCAGCCTCCAGAGGATGTGGTGTCTGAACTTTCGTCTTAAAGATTAAGCTTACCCATTGTTATGTTGGCAACACTTAAGTCTCCGGAGATTGAATTTTTTAGGAGGATTGGACTGAACTAAATAAAAACCATAGGGAGACTAATAACAGGGCCTTTTCACAGTGCTAAGCTGTGAGAGGACCTCTGCCTCAGCCTCTCGCTTTTTTAGAATTCATTTCCTCATGTGCCTGCTTCCTTTCTGCATCCAGTTTACAACAAAACATGACTGCCATGTAAAACAAGGAATGACTATAAAGTAAATGTTTCTTCCAGAATTTTGCTAAGAACGATTCACCAGTTGGAACTATCATATTGCTGATGGCAATATCAATTGTGCTGTTTACATTGTCAATAATATACCAATCTTCATTCTATCTGTTCCTTTAGCCACAAGATTATCATAAAGACAAATTTCTTTATTTGATCCATGTTTTTTACTAAGTCAAAGAGAGACAAAAATATTCAATTTTATATTTATTTACTTATTGTTGTAATTTAAATAAAAATTTACAGTGAGGACTGATACTCCATACTGATTTTCCTTTTTCTCCTGAATGTGTTATTACAAACAGATTCAAACATGACGGTTTCATTATGTCTTCTGCTATTGTTGTACTTCATCAGATACCTAAGCCGCATATTGTTTAATTATAAATCACTTCTGTATTTTTAAGATTACCTCTATACTAACAGCTAGGAAATTATATTGGTTTGGTAAAAATTTATGTATAGATATAATATATATGAGTATATATAGAGAGAGACAGCCTTTGTGGCATGTTGTTTTTGAGTGCCATCAAGTCATAGGTGACTCATAGCGAGCTTATGAACAAAAGTCCTCAACACTTGTGTGACTTTCATCCTCTCTCCAGGTTCATAGGGTTTCTGCAGGCAAGCTATTATGGAAGTGGATGCCACTCCTGCTTCCAAGCTTGGTTTAATCAAGGAGCTCTACCAAACACTGTCCGCCATGGGTCACCATTAAGACATTTGACACCACATCAGTGTCACAGGGTTCAGCTTCACAGCAACAAGTTACCTTGGAAGCATAGTGTATAATGTATTGGGCTGCTAACTGAAAGACTGAAAGTTGAAATCCACCAGTCACTCTGAGAAAGGAAGAAATATGGGTAGTCCCCTCTATAAAGAGTTATAGCCTCAGAAATCAATGGAGGTTACTATGCACTGACTTACTGGCAGTGAATGTTTTGGCATGCTAGTTTTGTTTGGGATTTTTAGCATTTTTTTGTTTGAATGAAAGTTGACAAATCATATTAATTCTCCATTCAATCATTCATACCTATTTTGTTTTATAACATTAATTACAACTAATTAATATAATTAATTAACTACAAAGTCTGATCAGACTCTTACTGTATAATCTTTCACTTCATCTAACTTATCTACTCATTAGGTTTTAATCCCTTCTACCTCTCTTCCCCTCCTTGTTAGCCACTTAAGAGTGGTTCTGTGTGCAAACCTTTCCTTAGTTTTCTGTTACCATTTGCTATTATTATGTGCCACTGAGTTAGAACCGACTCACAGCTGACTCTCCAGCAGGTTTCTAGTCTGTAAATTGCTTGGGAGGAGATTGGCCATCTTTCTCCTGATAAAACAATGAATGCAAACTGCTTACCTTTGGGTTGACAGCACAACTTCTTACCACCAGGCCACCGTGATCTTACACAATAATTGTCCTTTTGTGACTGACTTATGTCATTCAGCCTCATTTATCCTACTTCCATCCATGACATCCATTGGTTCACAAATTCCTTACTGTTTTTAGTGATGCCCAACACTCAATTGTGTACCATAGTTTCTTTAGCCACTTGTCTGCTCATGGACACTTAGGCTATTTCCAACTCTGTGTATTGTAAATAATACTTCAACAAATATGGTGTGCATATGTCAGTTTGTGGCACAAATCCCATTTCTTTGAAATATGGACCTTATTGTGATATTGCTGCACCAAGTGGCATTGCTAGTCCTAATTTTAAAAGGAAGCTCATCAAGCTACTTTTCATAGTGGTTGCAACATTTCCACAAGGAGCACATGTGAGTTCCAATCTCCCCACCTCCTTGCCAACATTTACGGCATGCTGTCTTATTGAACTTTGCTGTTGTTGTCAGGGTGAAAGGATACCTCATTGTTGTTTTGATTTCAACTCTCTGAATAGCTAATGGTGGCTTAGTGGTAAGAAGCTATACTATAATTGCAAAGGCACTAAGTTTGAATCCACCAGGTGCTCCACAGGAGAAGGATGGGCAAACTCCTCCTATGTGATTTATTGCATTTGATAACCTACTGGAGGGTCAGTTTTGGGACAGTTCTGACTCAATAGCAAACAATGATGACGACAACAACAACAAGAAGTAAATAATTAATGAGAGAGCACTGGTGGCCTAGTGAGAAAGAACTGTGCTGCCGATCCAAGGGCAGGTGACTTGAATCCAACAGCTGTCCTGCAGAAGAAAAATGGGCAATTACAGTCTCTGAAAACTTGCTGAGGGGTCAGCTATGAGGTGATTCCAACTCCATGTCAGTGGCTTTGACTTTGACCAGCTAATGATCGTGAGCATTTCTTCACGTGTTTGCTGGCCATCTAAACATCTTGTTTGGTGAAGTGTCTTTTCATGTCCTCTACCTATTTTTACAACTGGGTTATTTGTCTTTTCCTCAATGAGATGTTGTTATTTTCTAGCAATGTTAGACATGAGTCCCTTATCAGATATGTCATCAATGCATATTTTTTCCAACCTCTATATTTTCTTTTCCCTCTTTTAAAGAAGTTTTCTGATGCATGTAACGAGTTCCTTTTTTTAAAAAAAAATTCTTTTTTCATTGGTGTGGAGCTGGGATCAGTTCATAGCTGACTCTTTACCAAGTTTCTGAGGCTGTAAATCACCAGGGGAAATATTTCCCATTTTTCTCCAGAGGAGCTGGAGGATTCAATCCACAAGAGAGGCATGGCCTTTGCATTAACAGCTCAACTTTCTGTGGGCTATGCCACCAGAGCTGCCTAGACCACCAGATCCATAGCTTCAGAAACCCAATGCAAGGGCTGAAAAGGGGCGAGTCACCCATGAGTTGGTTTTGATTTTATGGAGATGAGAGAGATTTCTTATTTAGGAAATGCCAGTCATCTAGTTTATCCTCTGAAGTACTGTCAGTCATATTTAATATATTTGATAGTGCATTTATGCCATAAATTAGAGCTCCTAAGTTTGCCCCACTTCTTTCTTTGATCATCTTTATTGTTTTAGGTATAGAAAGAGGATACAGCCCTAGCACACACTGTTGTGCCCATGAAATGCCCCTCAAAGAAATCCAGAAACACGTCTGAAATTTCAAGAGTGTTTATTGTTTAATTTTTCCACGCGTGGACACTTTTCCGCCTTCCTCAGAAAGGTGGTGAAGGGAAAAAGTCTTGAGTTTCCCCTCCCACTTGCTTTTATAGCTTTTTCTTAGGTGCCCCTGCTAGGGCAAAGAGATTGGTGGGCCAGGGGGTCAGTCATTTGGTCGGCGCTTTTTTTTTTAAACTAAGTCAGATTTTTATTATTTTCCATAGACCACATCATTTAATAATAAAAAAATAAAAATAAAAATAGAACAAAAGGAAAAGGTGGATATAAAG